TGCTATTTTACTACATCATTACTATATTTAGAAAGTGTTTCAATATGTCATTTACTAATTCCTAAACTATTATATACCTACTGCAATTTTTTAGTTATACTTCTGAAAATTTCGATCAAACTTTTTTGATTTCTGCCAAAACCTATCTTTAATATTCCTGCTTTTAACTCTCATTTCTTTAGACCNTTTTATTTCCTGCTTTTAATCATTTCTCCATGAATACTAACTTGACTCTTCATGTTTTTCTTTTCCTTTAATTGCTTTCCCTTTACTGCTTTACCATTATCTCAATTCCGTTTTCAGTTCCGAGAATTTATTGTAATCTTTACTTTATGAACGTGAAAATACATGTAATTTGTTTCATTATTGTAATTGCATCTCTCAACATCATATCCCACTCGTGCCAAAACAAATCCTATAGCAACGCNAATGGGACGGGTAATAGCACGCAATAAGCACTCGCGACCAATCCACATGTTTAATTAACCTTTACGGGGCGGGAAGGGTAGAATATGGAGATGATGACGGTGCATGAATATCTCGCGTGGGAATGATTGCTGGGTATTGCACCAAACTGATTCATATTATATTTAAACCTAGGACCCCTTTTCTCCTTCTTTAGTTATCAATGTTTTCTTAAATTAATGTTTCTTCAACTAAGCTTTCTCCTTTTAAAATCACTTGTGTCTTTCTTCTTTCAAAATTTTTCAACTTGTTATGTGCAAACTTTGCTTGTTTATTCCTACTCTTCTTAAAGTCATAATTAAGCACGGTCGGGAACCACACTAGTGGATCTTGAGGGGTGCCTAACACCTTCCCCTCGAGATAATCTCAAGCCCTTACCCGAACTCTGGTTTATCTTTCAAGAAACCTTTTTTTTTTAAGTGTCCTAATGCACTATAATCATTAGGTGGCGACTCTTCAAATTCCATATCCCGATTCCTCGAAAGGGGAATAAGAGTTGTTTTGCCCATAATGTCGTAAACCCGATTTCGCCTTCTTTTAGGAGGGAAAAAGGGGGCGTCGACAGCATGGCGACTCTGCTGGGGAGATGCTTTAAGGCTTTTACCATTACGTTCTTTTTATGACTTTATTGCTTCCTTTATTACCTTTATTTCCTGCTTTTAATCATTTCTCCGTGAATACTAACTTGACTCTTCGTGTTTTCTTTTCCTTTAATTGCTTTCCCTTTACTGCTTTACCATTATCTCAATTCCGTTTTCATTTCCGAGCATTTATTGTAATCTTTACTTTATGAACGTGAAAATACATGTAATTTGTTTCATTATTGTAATTGCATCTCTCAACATCATATCCCACTCGTGCCAAAACAAATCCTATAGCAACGCTTATAATGAGTGGTTGCGCCCTTCCGATATCATAACCCCTAAATGTGGCAAAGGCATATTTGCGGTAAAACCAGTCGATCAACGGTGTAGTCGACGGTTCCGCGCCTTTCCCTCTTGAGTTATCCGCTCAAGGGTACCTTGTCTAGCACTTCAAAGGAGAAACCTTACTCTATTAAACTGTTCATGCATCATGGTCAAGCCTAGCCAAGTCAGTTATGTTGTCTGCATAATGACTCATTAAGACAGCCTAAACCAGAGTCCATAGGGTTTCCTGAAACCCAAACGGACACCTTCTATGTGCATTTATTTGGAGAACTAAACGCCTTATGCTAATTATTGGTATTAATAGTCGAGTACGGTAGGGGTGAGGTCTTAACCCTTTGTTTTGCAGGAAATGAATGACAAAGTTCCCGACTTCGGTATGGTAAACATACCCTCAATCTTGCTAACCTGGTGTAGGAACCTCCCATCCAGTAACCAAATCAACGAATGGAAAGAGAGTCACCAAGGCTAGTGAGAAGCTAGAATACCTGGAGTACAGCTTGCTGGAATTGGAAGGGAAAGTGAGGAAAAGAGTCACCGACTGTCAAAACATTGAGGGAAGCAAAGGAGAACGCCTGGCAAAGGCATTTTTACTGGAAAATCTGCGCGAGCTGGAAGATCTGATCAACGAGAACATTCAACCTGAGGAAGGTCCTTCGAGGACCAAGTAGTTAGGATTTTTACTCTTCTGCTTTCTTAAATGTAATAAGGCCGCTGGCCATTAGTGACATCTTTTATTATTCAGTTGTTTTTTACTCGTCTTATTTTTATCAATAAAATGAGGCATTTAGCATTATAAGTTCTCCAAATTTAATTTGTCGCTAGGCTTACCTCGGGCACAACGAGGCACCCAAATTAGGAAGCGATTTATATTCCAGCACAATGTGTTTAAATATTGCAATACTATTTATCAGAATCCTCGCTAACTTTTTACCTTTTTGTTTTTTTTCTTTTATTATTTTTATTCCCCTCCCCAAAGGTTAGTTCGTGCATTCTGGCACCATCAGCGTACTCAACAAGATCCAAGGGTCCTCCACCTCCTCCTCCTCCAAGTCCTACCAGAAACAGGAACAAAGGCAAAATGGGAGATACAAGTGCTAGAAAGGAAATCGAGGAAACCTCTCAGAACGCTTCAATCACTAAGGAAACTGCTGCTCATCTTGAGCAAACTTTGCTGAGATTTCGAGAAGAATTGGAACAAGTTCGAAACCTGGCAAGTCTGTCAATCACTCTTGTTGCTGCTGATGCCAACAACCAGAACCATACTACACCACCAGCACAACCCGCTCATGCCCAAGCCTGCAACACCTGCAACAACACTCCACTGCACGTTCCTGAAGCACAAAATACCACAAAAGGCCATAACACTCCAATCTTTGTGGACACCATGCCACATTAGAGTCAGCCAATCGCCAGTGCAATCGACACAAATGACAAGAGCTCCCTCATTCAGAATTTGGCTGCTGAGATCAAGAAGTTGACTAGCCGGGTCAAAGATTTCGAAGGTAACAAAAGTGTTGAAGGGTTAAATTACGAAGATATCTGTGTTCAGCCAGATGTTGAGCTCCCGGAAGGGTACAAACCTCCCAAGTTCGAACTATTCGACGGTACAGGTGATCCAAGGGTCCACCTCAGAATGTATTGTGATAAGCTGGTAGGAGTCAGGAGGGACGAGAAGATTCGCATGAAGCTGTTCATGAGGAGTTTGAAGGGTGATGCTTTATCATGGTATATTAGCCAGGATGCAAAGAAATGGACTAGTTGGGTGAACATGGCGTCTGACTTTATGGATCGGTTTAGGTTCAACACTGAGAACGCACCAGATGTGTTCTATATCCAGAATCTCAAGAAGAAGCCCACAGAGACCTTTCGCGAGTATGCTACTCATTGGAGGTCAGAAGCTGCTAAGGCCAGACCGGCCTTGGAGGAAGAACAAATGAACAGGTTATTCATCCGTGCTCAGGATCTGCAGTACTACGAGAGACTGATGTTAATAGAGGGCCAAAAGTTCTCCGACGTCATCAAGTTGGGAGAAAGAATCGAAGAAGGCATCAAAAATGGTATGGTCACTAACCTCGACGCGTTGCAAGCTACCAACAAGGCTTTACAGTCTGGTGGCTCATCAAAGAAAAAGGATGTGAATTCTATGATGGCTGCGCAAAGGAACAACTCCCCTATGAAGTACCAAACCTATTCCTCAGCTCCACTCACATATCAACCTACCCTAAATTACCAAGCACCATCACCCACCTACCAAATTCCATCACCTGCTCCACCACCTACGTATGAACCCGCTTCACACAGATATTCCCAACCCGCACATATATACCAAGCATATAACTCCCAACCTTCTCACTACCCATCACCTCCTACCCGTCAAAACTTCCCTCGACCTAGACCAAACTTTGACCGCAAACCTCCCAGACAATATACCGCCATAGCCGAGCCAATTGACCAATTATATCAAAAACTCAAGGCAGCTGGTTACGTTACCCCTATCCCAGCCGTAACTCCAGAAAATCCTTCCCAGTGGATCAACCCAAACAAGACTTGCACATACCATTCCGGGATGAAGGGTCATACTATTGACGAGTGTCGCTCGTTGAAAGACAAGATTCAGAACCTGATTGACAACAAGATCATTATAGCAAAGGAGCCCAATCCTAATGTCTGCAACAACCCTCTGCCTGACCATGAGGGTAGAGGCATCCACATGATCGAGATCGAAGATGATTGGGACCCCAAGGGGTCAATCGGGTTGATAGCTGAAGGAGACGAGCCTAAGAAGCCAATAGTTACTCTCAATCCCATTGTTGACCAAATTCAGCCATCTGAGGGCGATGTGGTAAATGTGTCCGTACCACTCGAGTTTGAAGCACCACCTTCAAAGGTGCCAAAACCAATTGAGGTTGAGTTCGGAGTTCCAAGGGCGCCTACGCCGTTTGAAGTTAGTGTGTTACCTCCGAAGGCACCAATTCTAGTCTCCATGACAGATGTAACCCCGTTCAAGACAAATGCTATACCTTGGGATTACACTGCTGAGGCTAGAAGGAAGGGAAATACATATACTGGGGAAGCGATTGCCGCAAAGGGCATGACCAGGACAGGCAGAGTATACACCCCGGAACACTTGGCTGAGTCCAGCAAGCAGGCCTCCGGGCGGGCTGTTAAAACTGGACCCGATGACTTTTGGAGGAAGGTACAGGCCAAAGAGTACTCGGTCATTGAGCAACTGAACAAAACGCCAGCACAGATTTCTATTCTGGCTCTTCTACAAAGCTCAGAGGCA